CCCCGGGGTGAGCCTGCCGGCAATGCGGGGTGCGTGCCAGGGCGGTGATGCTGTGGGTGGCCGTAGTGTGATGGGAAGGGGGTTCGGGGGGGCTCAGGACCCCACAGCATTTGTCCTTGCCCTAATCTGCCTGGCAACAGGGTGACCCGCGCGCTCCCTCTGCCGTCACCCGGGGCCAGTGACGGCGGTGCCGCGAGCGCTGTCCGGCTTCATCCCACCTCCGGCCAAAGCGGGCAGGACCCCAAAGCATGGAAAAAACTAAACCTCAGCAAAAAAAGGGAGTGCTGGGGCCAGCTGGTGGTGGTCATCCCCCACCATCACCCCCCGTCCCGTCCCGTCCTGTCCCCTCCCCGCCTTACGGTCGCTGCCGTGCACGATCTGGAAGTTTTTGACGGAGGCGTGGGTGACCCGGCCGTGGAAGTTGAGGACGTAGGACTGGGTCTCGTCGTTCCACACCGGCGCTTTGTTGTGCAGCTCGATCACGTTGTCCATGTTTTTGTTCTGCCATCGCATCAGGAGACCGTCGTTATCCTGGGGAGGGCGAGAAAGGGGAAAGCCAGAGTTGGGGTGACCCCCACCCCAAGACCTGCCAGCCCCCCATGGCGTGCCCAGGGTGATGCTCTGTAGCAGGATCCAGATGGGAGATGAGATCCAGCACGGAGGAAAAAAAAAAAATAGGCACCACGTCTCCCACCTCCCAGGGAGGTGCCTTGAATTTTGGGGACACCTGAAAACCTTTCCGTGCCCCAAAACCGGTAAAATCCAAGGTGAACCCCAGCAAATCCGGCCCCCAAGGAGTTTTTCCCGCTCTGGCCCCAAACTTACATTCCGGGGTCGGATGGGCACCCTCTCGTTGTCGGCGTTCATCCCGGGGATGATGACCGTCATCTTCCGGGGACCTTTGAACCCTAAAACATTGGTCTCCTGCAAGAGAAACCCCGTCCCTAAAATCAGCGACCGCCGCGGGCTTCAGCCTCTTGCCAGCTGCTGAACGAGAGCTCAGGGATTGCTCCAGCCCGTCCCACATCTCTGTAACCCCCCGGGGTGGTGGTCGGGGTTGGGACCTCCCTCGCCGCCTGCCCAGGGGTTCCCAGGGAGGGGGTGGTGGTGGTGTTCCCCACGTTTCTGCTTACGTAGACCACAGCCGAGAGCTCCTGCCGCACGTTGGACCAGTTGGCGTTGGCCCTGTCGGGGTTGGCGCCGTTGTCGAACACCGTGAACTTGGTTCCCATCAGGTTGGATCTGCAGCCGAGGACGGGAGGTGGCCACGGTTGGTGCCACCGAGTCCCCTCCGACCCCCCCATGGCATCGTCCCCCACTCCAGGCACAGCCCCGGCTTTGCCCCAGATCCAAAACCCACACGCAGCCCCAAGCTGACGCCATCCTTCCCACCCTTTAGCCCGTTGTCGAACACCGTGAACTTGGTTCCCATCAGGTTGGATCTGCAGCCGAGGACGGGAGGTGGCCACGGTTGGTGCCACCGAGTCCCCTCCGACCCCCCCATGGCATCGTCCCCCACTCCAGGCACAGCCCCGGCTTTGCCCCAGATCCAAAACCCACACGCAGCCCCAAGCTGACGCCATCCTTCCCACCCTTTAGCCCTTTCCTCGCGTTCAGGGCACCCCTAAATTGGGGTGTTGTAGGGTGCTGCAGGCGCAGGGCCCCCCCAACCCTGCTGCGCGG